TATATATATATATAAATGGTAACTGAAAAATATATTACACTTACGTTTTGCGATACGTGATGAGAATAATAATCGGTTGGTTTAAAGATTGTGTGAATTTTCGAGAGTATTCGAGCGTTTATAGGCGTTTAGAATCACTTTTTTTCCCTCGAGGATGGATAATACGTACGTGTTCGTCCGTCGTGATATTATGTACGTATGTATATATATATATATATATATATAATATATATATATATTTATTATAGTTGCGTGCAAAGATACTTAGAAACGCGGCGATCGATTCCGTCCAACGGTTTGTTTTGCGTTTGTGCCTTAATAATTGGTGACTCATCATCATCACGATTGAAATCATCGAAATCATCATCGCCGTCGTCGTCATTATTATCATTATCGTCGTCGTTGTTGACTGAATTATATCATCGTTATATCATCGTTATGATCACCATTATCATCGATATCGGTCGATTGATCTTTCGGTCGTTTTGGTAGTCTGCTATTTGTAGTTTGATAGTGATGGAGAGTAATAGTAATAGTAGCAGTATAGTAGTAGTAGTAGTAGTAGTAGTAGTAGTAGTAGTAGTAGTAATAGTAGTAGTAGTAGTAATAGTAGTAGTAGTAGTAGTAGTATTAGCAGCAGTAGTAGTAGGTGGTAGTAGGTGGCCTACAGTGAGCGTACGTAACGAGAGTCTTATTATCGATCGGATTATGCAACGTGAACACACAATGACGTAGTTGCGCGGTACTGCGTACAGAAATATATTATTATAGTCTTTTAGTTTCGATAAAAAAGTTCAGTTCCCCTCCTCGGATTGATTTCCCATCTCGAGGTGGCGCGCTTTCTCTCTATCTCTAACTCTCCCTCTCTTTCTCTCCCGCTCTCTCGCTCTCTCTCGAATTTTTTATTATTTTCTTTCGTTAATTTTCTTCTTTTTTCTTTTTTTTTTCCTTTTTTTTTTCTTCTTTTTTTTCTTTTTTTCTTATTTCTTCTTATTTAAAGCATTCTCTCCCCTTTTTTTTTTCCTTCGCGGTTTCCTTTCTTTCTTTTTTTTTCTTTCTTTTTCGCCCAAATTTCGCTCACGTTTCCTTCTCGTTTCTCGTTTCTTCTTCTCGTATCTCTTTCGTCTCTTTTTTTTCTTCCTCTCCTCTTTTAACGTTTGTTTCGTCTGTTTTTTTTTTATCACGCTTTTCACAGGTTCCCCGTTCCCTTCTCGACCTTCTTCGTTTTTGTACAACGCAACGAACACACACATTTATATTATTTATATTATTTATATATATATATACCTTTTTTTTATATAATTATTATACATACGCAAACAAAGCTTTTCCCCCTTCTTTCCCAATCTCTTTGTTTGCTCTTGCTCTTTGTTTGTTCGATTCTATTTTTATATATATATATATATATGTATATATATATATATGTATATATAAATTTATATCTATATATATCTATATATATATATATATATGTATATATTTATATGTATAGTATGTATATATAGGTATTCAGCTTCGTTTATCGTCAGTTTGTTTTTTATTTACTATCTTTGAATTGTTGAGTTCAATAGGAAAGGAACGTAGAACATTTTACTCTCGAGTAGAAGAGCTGCCGCCGATTGTACCTGGAATTCATGAAGAAAACAGGATCGACTTAGATCTGTTATTGTTCCGTATTCGAAATGAAACGACGAATAATCGATCGATATATAACAATAATCCGATAATAAATTCTGTCTCCAAATTTTAAAAACGTTTTTTTCCCCCCTCTATTTTCCCTTTCTACTCTACGCTATTTCGTTTCTTTATTTCCATTCCCCTATTTTAATCCACGCTTATCCAATATGTCAGCCGAGTGAAAATCTAAACGATTCGCGCGACGAACCACCAGGGGAAATTTTCTTATTTGTCAGACTTACTTCGGGCAACCTGACGAGAAGATCGTGAAACCGATTCGGCTGTTGTGGGGCGCTGTGCTCGACAAAACTTCGTAGACAGCTCATGTACCGTTCTTGTAGATGTTCTAATTCCATCGTACCTCCACGTGCTAAGAGAGGGCAGACACAGAAAGAGAAAGAGATCCGTGAGTGTGAGGATGGATGGATTCGAATAAGCGCGTCCTTCTTTCGTAATTAATCGTCTCGCTCGTAACGACTTAATTACTCTTTTTTTTTTTTTTTTTTTTTTGTAATTATTCGATCCTTGATTCAATTTTTAATTTTTTTTTCTTTCGCCTCGAGGAAGAAACGAGGATACGTACTTTTATTTATTTATTTATTATTAATTTTATTTTTTTTTCCACGCTTCGATAATCGATCGAATAATTACTACAGTTTTTAATACGAAAATTTATATTGCTTCGCCAATTCAATTAGCATTAGCAAAGAAAAAAAAAAAGGATGCATTTGTTTTTATATACTACTTATTATAGTAGTAGATGTTTGTATTGTTGTTTTCAACGATGAAAATTTGGATGGAAGATACTTACCTTGCGAGAGCATGGTGATTACTTTCAGACAGACGTACTCCTCCATCCGTAATCTCACCCTCCTGAACATTAACGTGACATACGTAATCTTTTCCACCATCAGGCCTACGTCTTGCTGCAATTGGTCCATGGTTATCGGCCGGCCCATCATGTTCGTTAGGCACGTTTGCAACGTATACATGTTGTTCGAAACCTGTGCACACCACATACTCGATACATTTACTTATTAATCCAATTAACCAAAAAAAAATCAAAAAAATACTTTTCTCCTCTCTAAACTCTCTATCAATCTTACTTTTTCCAAAGTAGAAAGTTTCACGTTCACGTTCGTAGAAAGTACCCTGTCTTCAGATATGCTATCAATTACGTTTTAGTAACGAGAGGAAAAAAGGCGCGTTTCGATAGATACGATTATACGAGTGCAGGTTATTCATTCCCGTTGTGGAATACAATCTATATATATATTGCCTGTTTAAAGAGAAAGTCTTTTATCCGCGGATGGTATTCGGTTGTTCGGAAAGTAATTTCGTTTTTTCACACGAGCGTCGCTAGTGAAACGTTTATCCAGCCAACTTCATTCCGAACCGTGTCGTTATTTTATCGTTATATTTTGAGAGTTGGCGTTTCGCGGTTTATTTATTAAGAAAAATTCGTTTCATTCTGCGTGCGTAATAACAAACATGCGAGACGAAAAGCAACATTTTCGATATATTTTATTTCTTTATTATCGAAAAGGTAAGAATATTGTTCGGGCAAGAGAATGTTATGTGGATCAAATATATATATATAAATCGGATGGCTAACGATAGGAACGCAACGTAGGAGGGAGAAGGAAAGACAGAGAAAAAAAGAAGAGGTAATTACTTCTTGCATAAAATCCGCTCCCATCGCGTCGCTGCCGACGTTGGAGAACTTGTGCTGACCGTGTATCGCCTGGTAGGCGGAGGTGGTCAGCACGAGGATCTCGTGCCACTTGTGTGTGAGCAATGTCGTGTGAACTTCGACCGGTAGCTCAAGGTAAAACGGTAACCTTTTGGTCCACTGCACCAACTTGTACACTATACTGTCCCCTATCTGACACAGCTTGTCGCTTAAGTTTGATTTATGGTCCAGCAGCTCGTCCAAGTTCTGCAACGTATAAAACGGGAGAGGGGCGTTCGCGTGAGCGAGGTTAAAATTCACATTTCCATCCCGGAAAGGGGAAAGAATAAATCTTAAAATTTTGCGAGATCGACGAACTCTTTGCTCGATACTATCGATATACCGATATATTTTCTCATCTCAAAAAAACAATACAATACAATTTTATTTATATTAAAAAGTATTTAAGCATTTGTAATATTATAAATATTTTAATATCGAATTACGAATTAAATATCTAAATATCACGATATCCCAGAGTCGTCGGCAAAGAGTTTCTCAATTTCGTCGATTAAAGAAATATATTCGAATTAAAAACAAGCGTATACCCTCAACGTGGCAATATCTTGGAACTCGTCGCAGTCTATGAGGGACTGGATCATGGCGACAGTCGCGTCGAAAGGGAAAGATCGATCCCTCGAACTGCTTACCGTGTTGTCTAGCCTCTGCCTCAAGTGTACCACCTTGAAAAAGAGAAAAAAACAAACGAAACATTTTTCTCCTATATATAATATATATATAAGTATATATATATA